CTGCATCACGCGATGTAAGAGTATAAGCATCTCCTATATCAATGTGTGGCTAAGTAGGTGATGGAGAAGAAGTACGATATTGAGATTGGAGGAAGTATAGATGCGTATGTCCGAGGCATGTAACAGCATTTGAAATATTGAGATGGGTCAATGCACAGCGCAATCATGTCCGTCCTCACCCGTCGTCCTTCAATACACTAGTAGGAGCTGATCGAAACAGACCTTTAGAGCGCGGCCGCTCAACCACCCAACTTGACGCCATACATAATCACCAATCCTCTTGCTGCCAGTGGGGTGAGATTTGAGGCCACAGGCGTGACCGTTCACTTCATGGTCGTGTATTGTAAATCATAGTGATCATATTCGAACCAGTAGCGTGTTGAGATTAGACTGAAAGTAGATGATTAACATGTGCATCGTGTAAACATTTATGGAATGTTCAGAGTATACTAGTGTCCAAGCCTCATGCCGCAGTCGCTGTTCTGACCATTACCCCACTGCTCTTTAGCTTGCGCAATCCCGCCTGTTCTATCCGCGGACAGGCACGAAGGTATAGCACTGAGATGGACGAGGGCTGCGCCCTCACAGCAGCAACGATGTCTTCCGCAGATATTGCCTCGCACCGAACAAGCTCAAGGCCCCGCAACGGCTGCCAATTCCCGTCCGCAGACCGTCGCGCACGTAGCGTACTCATCAAGGTTTGAAGGAATGACGCATCCACCTGCGGCCCATGTAGCACGACGTGCTGAAGTCGCGGAAGACTTTGTACAAGGGGATGGACAAAGCGGGAATCCAGCCATCCGTATTCGACATACAGATGACGAAGTGTCGGAAGCTGTGGGAGTGCCTTGAGGACGTGTCGCAGGCGGGGAAAGAGAGTTGGCCGACGGAAAGGGTACCGTGAGACGAGGCGGAGAGTCCGAATAGCAGGTAGGGACAGGTGCATGAGGACATGCAGGAGCGCGGGCGGAATATCAGGTCCCTCGATACTCAGTGTAAGCGTGGCCAGACGGGGAAGGGTAGTGGTCCGAGCAGAGGGATTGGAGTAGCGCGAGTTGCTGTCTCCTCGCCATGGAAAGGCGAGGCGGAGTACTTCGAGACGAGAGGAGACCTGGAGAATCTGGAGCACGTCAGAGGCAGCCTCGTGGCCTCGAGTGAAGCCGTGATGCGTATAGTCCAAGAATGTGAGATGCTGAAAGAGTGACGGATACCATGCTAGGCGGATGCCCCATAGCGTTACTCTGCGTAATCTCGGAGCAACGCCGTTAAAAAGGACGAATTCCTTCGTGTCATCATTCCCCGGATAAATGAGTGACAATTCTCGGAGGAAGTGAGCTTGAACTGCAGGGGTACTATCGCAGCACGCAGACAGGGCGGCATTCCATAGATATGGGGTATAAATGTCGAATTTGATCTCCAGTGAACGCCATCGGGGTATGAAGGGGATCACAAGATGCATATAGTACAGGACAGTTTGCGCATCGAGCGGGACGATGTAGTTCGTCCGGTCGAGTGACATTTGCTGGTTCGCTAATTGAATATCCAACGTGCACGCCTTGGCGCGGTGGATGCGTTGAGTCCACATTGACAAGCGGCTGTCTAGAACAACGCGCCTCCACAAGGATGGTGTATGCAGTGCCAGCTTGCGCCATGCCCTGCACACGTGTGAGATGACCACGGGTAGCATGATATCGTCTTCAGCCCCCAGCGCAAAAATGTGGGCGAGAAGTTCGTTAGGAAGGCGCATGATGGGATGATACTTCCTATGGCCATCGTGGAAGTACACATGAACAGCTGAATGCGCACGAAGGGGATCTGGATCGAGGCCGATTTGGTTCAGTAGGCAAGATGATCAGGAATATTGAAGAAGCATACCAGCACCGTCCGAGAATCTCTTGCTGCTAAGTCCCAAAATCAGAAGTCAACTGGATACGGGGGCATCCAAGACTTACTCGGAAGTATACATCGACTTGACAGCATCGACTAAAGATCGTGCGAACTCACGGCGGCGAGGACGCTTGAGAGTAAAGGGCATGACGACTGACTGAAAGACGAGGGCACATACCGCACGGACCCGGCATTTTGTACGGTCTTATGAAGGCAAGCTGGCCGCGCGAGACAAAAGTGAGCGGTACAGGAGGCTATGCGGCCACGCAGAGCGCGTGAACGTTAGCTGACAGGCTGAACGTATGCAGGAAGCCGGCGCCGACAGGTTGTGCCCATTGCTCAGCCCGGGGAGCACAGGGGTCGGAGGCGAGAGATAGGAGTGTGCCGCACACGATACGTAGATCACCTCTTTTCAAAGGCAGAGCGCACACACTCGGCGGTACCGAGAGAGCCGAAACTGGCCAGCTGAGATGCAAGGCCATTATCGCATGGCTGTGGTCGGCGCGTGTTTCGCCGGACGTCCCGAAGAATGGACTTGAATGCAGCATGGGTTCACACTAGCCAGCTCCAAGAGAACAGGAATGGGGAATGGGCAGCCCGTCGGAAAAGCAGTAGCAGGAGAAAGACAGCAGCCACTACTTTCATCCATTTCACTCGACAAGGGCGCACCACGAGCTGAAGCAACCTGATGTGAGTCAGATCAATCTATTCCCATCACGTGCACACCCCATCTAACGAGATTCGCTTGGGCCTCCACGTCTTTCTCGCCAGTGTGTCCATCATATTTCGTAGCGGACATTTGTCCGTTTTCTTATACAAGACTCTAGTTCTCGATGGCTATCAAATGAACGTTCTATCACCATTGTTCATCCGCACGGTACCCCGAATGCGTCGCATGACTTTGTTATCTCGAGAAACCTGACGAACAACACAGACTTGGCATTCCTCTTTTACCTTGGGGAACTTCCCTCTGTCCGGCCCTCATGTCTTATCCTTTCGGTTGCATCGTGGTGGGCTCGGGTCACGCTGGATGCTGCGCTGCATTATCTGCTGTGGAGGCCGGTTGTCAGCGCGTCCTGGTCGTCGAGAAGGGCCCAAAAGAATGGGCAGGAGGAAACGGATACTTCACCGCGGGCGCTCATCGAACTGTGCATGGTGGTCTGCGGGACCTGCTCCCCATCGTGCAAAATGTCACCCCCGCAGCGGTGGCGACGATCGACATGGAGCCATATTCATCGGAAGCGTTTACGACAGACATCATGCGCTTAGGCGGCGGCAAGTCCGACCCGGAAATGGTCAGCGCTGTCGTGGGAGGGTCAAGGGACGCTGTTAAATGGCTCGCAGAGTGGGTGCATGTGCCGTTCATACTGTCCTTCAACCGACAGGCGTATCTTGTCAACGGAAGGCAAAAGTTTTGGGGCGGGATGGTGCTCAGTGTGGAAGGTGGAGGGAAGGGACTCATTGCTGCGCATCAGCAAGCACTGGAACGAGAAGGGGTCGACGTGTGGTATGAGACGCCTGCAGTGGAGTTGATACTTGAAGATGGCCATGTTACCGGAGTAGTCGTTCTCCGCAACGGTCAGCGCATCTGGTTGCGAGCCTCTGCGGTCATATTGGCGTGTGGAGGATTTGAGTCAAGCCCTGAGCTACGAGCTAAGCATCTGGGATCAGATTGGTCTCGCGCTAAGGTGAGCCTACGTTCACAGTCTAAGCATGTTATGAGATACTGAACTTGAATAGGTACGCGGTACACCTTATAATACAGGCGATGGCCTCCTCCTCGCACAGTTTGCCGGGGCTCAACTTACAGGAGATTTCGCACATTGCCACTCTACGTGCTGGGACGCCAATGCCCCCGATGATCGTGGTGATCGCGAGCTCAGCAATCAGTTCACGAAATCTGGGTATCCTCTTGGGCTCATGCTCAACGCGCAGGGGCATCGCTTCGTGGACGAAGGCGAGGATTTTCGCAATTACACGTACGCAAAATTTGGACGAGAAATTCTGCATCAACCTGGGGGATATGCGTTCCAAGTTTGGGACTCGCAGACTATCAAATGGTTGCGTGAGGAGGAATATGGTGACGACGTCGTGAAGAAGATCTGGGCGAATGATGTAGCTCAACTTGCCGACAATCTCATATCTGAAGGGCTAGAAGATCGAGAGGCTTTCATAAACACCATTGCGGCCTATAATGCTGCGGTGCAGGCCTCCCAACGCGAGCGCCGAGAGGTGCGCTGGGATCCTGCAATCAAGGACGGGCTTTCCACACAGTCTTCACAACAATTTCTTGCGTTGCCTAAGTCTAATTGGGCACTGACCCTTGAGCAACAGCCGTTCCTAGCAGTCAAAGTGGCTTGCGGCATTACCTTCACGTTTGGGGGGCTTGCCATCGACCCGGAAACGGCTGGCGTCATCTCAGCGAGCTCCGGGGAGCCAATCCCTGGCCTGTTCTGCGCTGGTGAGCTGACCGGTGGTATATTCTTTGGGAATTATCCTGGAGGTAGCGGGTTAACGGCTGGTGCGGTCTTTGGGCGTAAAGCTGGAAGAGAAGCAGCAAAACTGGCCGAGGATATCTACAATTGAAGTACATGCGCTGTCATGGGGTTACGTATGCTTCAACATTACGGCCGTACGGCCATCAGTGTCAGCGAGCATCCAAAGACACGTTTTGTCATGTGCAGCAATTTCACGACAATGCTGGGATCAATTCCATAGTTAACACTACAATTTTGCCACTGATGCGTTCGACTATGGATACCTCATATTTACCGACGCAAGGTGAGCCGGTGCGTGTGGGTCCAGCCCCCTTATCCTGCACTCGAAGCAATGCCTAGGACATGAGCAGCCCAACCGAATTCCTGCGTTACATGCTCCGTAATCATGCAATTAAGATTATTCGTCTCAAACAATCTTCCCTAGTTATGCGGATTTTGTCCTACCTCCGGCACCTATTCGTGACAGCTCCTTCATAACGGTCTCCGGCACTGATCGCAAACGTCTGGAGGTGTTCAGCAAGCAAGGTTGCCATTGTAGTTACTGAGGCAGTTGTCTGCAAAAGGGTGAGTTTTGTTAATCAGCATATGTGGGGCTAGCTCCTCACCAAGATCCAGAATTGAAGCCTCCTGCTGGCCAGCGTCGTCTGTGCAGTAGCACTCCATGTATTGCACGCCGGTCACGATCTCACACCCAGAGCACGATCCACCGTATCCACCACTGAACATCGCTTCATCAGCTCGATCTCGGCCTCGCGAGAATAGTGTATTCCTTACTTGGTAGCGCATGCCAAGTTGCCATTATAGTTGGCAACGCAGTTGTCCAAGTTGATGGAGGTGGACTGCTGTGCCCCCGAGTCGGTGGTGCAAGTTGCATAGAACGTCGTTCCAACGATCTCGCTACCTGAGCTACCACAGGTTGCGGCGAATCCCTGTGCAAGGACTGCAGGAGCAGCTATGAGTGCAACGGCAGCGTAAAGCTTAAAAAGCTTAAGGTGAGTGAACTGCATCGTAACTAGTCGAGGGATGACACTGAACCTCCGAGAGTTGCCCTGCTTTTATACTTTCATGGCGCCTGGCGTCAGGTAGAAATATGGAGAAATAAGTTGTTTAGCAACATATACTCCCTTCCGACTCATGGACCGCAGTTCCCTGGAGTCTGGTCTCACGTTTTGACAAACCAGCCGTAAGAATAGTCGGTGTAATACGTCCTTAGATGTACCTACTGTCGGCGGAAGTCGTAGGTCATACCGCGCGTCCATCACCGTGCGTCCATTCGTCCTCCGGAGTCATCGGATATTCTATTTATATTCTGGCTTTCGCGATGTGGCAGGCCGACTCACAAGCTCCCAACAAAACCCGCTTCTTCTCAAGCTATCAATCTGCGCTCCCCACAGTAGACTGTGGCTACCGGTGATAGGTAACTGTACGCCATCCTATGTTGTGTGCACTCGGCTGATTTTCCCCTCGTCGACATCTCTCACTCCTCGTGGCGCTATCCTCAGGACACCCGTGATGATCTCGGACATGGTCTTATTGAGTGTCTATTCTTCATCAAATACTGTGTTTAGCGCTGATCCGAAGTTGGACTCCTTTCAATCGCCTCATGGTCCATTATGTCTCTTCCTGGTCGCTTCTCGCATGATCCTTGCCGTGACGTAGCGCTACACGGTTTCTCCAGAAGCCCTGGACTTTATGATTCAACGACAATATGCTGTTCCTTACGGCGCTTGATGATCTCGAGCTGAGGCGACCATAGGCTGTCTAGATCTAGTGGGTCTATCCTTAGACCTCACATAGTCCGCTTTTTCAATGTCCCGGATTGCATGTGCGCTATATTATCCCTCCTTTCGGTACCGACCGCTGTGTTAACATCTCGCTGACTCGACTTAGTGGTAGCGTCATGTTGACTAGCTGTCTTGTGCTTTAATGTATCCTCTGCTTTCGTGTTGAGCCTGCGCTGTGCCTGTCGAGCTGAATTGTCCTTGCGCTCACCCGTCTGACTTCCTCTCGTGGACCTTTCTGTCGTTTGTGTCATGACCCTTTGATCTATCTTTTGAAAGCTTGCTGCACTTGGACCTCGTGCTTATCGAGGCGAGGTGAGCTTGCCTCTGGGACGCTGACCCAGATCGTGGAGCAGCATTCACAACATGAGTAGCACGTCCGCGATATATTTCTTGTGTTAATTGTTGCTGCACAATCGCCCCACTACTAGTTCCTCTTCAACAGCCTTGTCTAATTATACAGCGATCTGATAACTTCGCTTTACATCGTGACAGCTCTTCAATAATCGCCTCTGTCACCGAGCGCGGATGTCTCGAGTTGTTCAGCAAGCAAGGTTGCCATTGTAGTTGCTGAGGCAGTTGTCTGCAAAGGGGTCAGTATTGTTCATCAGCATATATGGAGCTCGCTCCTTGAAAGATTCAGATTTGTGGTGGCCTGCTGGCCAGCATCGTCTGTGCAGGAGCAATCCATGTATTCGTCGGAAACAAATTCACATCCTGAGCATGATCCGCTGTAGCCACCGCTGGATATTCCTTACTTGGTAGCGCATGCCAGGTTGCCACTGTAGTCGGCAACGCAGTCGTCCAAGTCGATGGAGGTGTCCTGCTGCGCGCCAGACTGGGTGGTGCAAGTCGCATAGAAGGTTGTTCCAACAATCTGGGTGGCTGATACGTCGCAGGTGAAAGCGAATCCTTGTGCAAGGACTGTGGGAGCAACTACAAGGACAGCAGCAGCGTAGAGCTTAAGGTGAGTGGACCGCATGGCTAACTAGTCAAGGGATGGCTGAATCTTCCAGAGTTTTCCCACTTTTATAAACCTCCTTACCGCCGAGTAAGAAGACGCATGAATGACTCGGTCTTCATCCAAGTTCCCTCCTTACCCATAAGGCTAAAGATGAATCTCACGTTCTGTTGATTTAACTGTAAGGGTTGTGAGCATCATATGACCTTGGATACACCTTCGTACGTTCTTAGATGAAGGCTTCTCTTTGGGCTATTCGTGACGACGAGACGCCCATTCGTAAGTACAATGTGCTTTGACTGGGTGACAGACAAGCACATACCTTCTTATGCTGTATGTGTTTACGTGACTTGCCTCTTGTAGGTGTCTTTCATCCATTGCGGCGCCATATTCAGGATTTTCGCGACTGCCTGAGACATGCTCTTATCGAGCATCTACTCTTCATGATGTCCCTACATCACATGCGTGTTTGGCGCGCATACTCATTCTCGGCCGATTTAGACATCTTTCTGCCCCATTCTCTGGTTATATGCGCTCTCACAGCTTCCTTCCCGTGAAGCAGCGCTGCATGGCCTCTCTGGCAGGTTTGGATTCCGCGATGAAACGACAATGTGAAGCGTAGGATCAAGATATGCAGTCAGATATTCGTTAAAATGTCTCGAGCTAGAGTAACTGTAGACGGCGGAACTATCTCTAGACCCACAAATTTCGAATTTTGTTTACCTCTTCAATGTGCTGGATTGCACGTGCGCTATACCATCCATTCTCTCGGTATCGATTCCTGCGCTGACATGTCGCTGACCCGAAGACCTGCTTTTCCGCAATCATAAAATAGATGGCTGGGGAAACCAATTGCATTCGCTCAATTTCTGTCTTCGCGCCATGAACATTTGGTGTGGAGCATTTCTGGCAATTCGAATGTTCAAATGTTGACTAGATTTTGCTTTCACAGCCGTCTCCTCGAGTGTAGGTCACTGAAAGCACGACATGGCCTCCCTTTCTGAGTCCTCATGACAACGTCTGCGATATTACTTGAGCAGCTTTAAGGCAGGATCCCCTCACTATCTGCTGTGCAATCATGCCCACTACTGTCCTCTCGGTTGGCCTTTTTAGGTACGCGGTATACCGCTGTCAAACCTGATGTCTCATTCCATTGGTACACATGGAACTTCTCCTTCCTTTCCGCTACAGAAGCGCCTTAAACAGCGAGGATGCCATTCTCGTTTGTGAGGCGATCATCTACATTGTACATTGGAGGTGAGGACATGGAGACGAAGTTCATACTAGGGTCATAAATCGTAGCTTTCTGCTATTTTGTGTCGTGGTAGCAATAATACTCCATGTATGATACGACAGTCACAATCTCACACCTCGGACATGTTGCGCTGCATTCATCGCTGTGGGTCGTCTGGAATGTTCCATGTTGCAAAAACGACCCCATGAATCCTCACTTCGAAGTTCGCGTAATTTTGCCACTCATCGATGGCGACGGAAGTGGATGATTCTGCTCCTGATTCGGTCCTGCAAGTGACATAGAAATACGACTCGATTTCTGGAACAGTAGTGCCGCCACAGCTCAGGTTGGCAAAACCTTGCGCGGCGTGATCTCGTAGAAGACACGTCTGGGTACGAGACTAGCGCGGCGAGTACCCCCTGGCACGCAAGCTGTGCAGAATTATCAGTGGGCGGTTCATAAATGGTTTGAATTAGAACATTAAAGCATAATTAGCACAATTTACACAATTCCACCCAAGAATTTAGTAAAGCGTTCAGGGTCGTCCCAGTGCATCTGATGGATCGTCAGAGGGTTTTACAGCTAAATTCAACATCTCACTTACGAAATGGTTCGCCCGCTCGAGCTTGTGGAAACTCACTCTGCGCCAGTCTTTGGTGTCCTCTCGACACAGCTTTGCTCGATACTTTACTCTGTTTGCGGCGAACACTCCATCCGAAGTCGCCATATCACACCATGCAATATGCACTCTTACCTTCGTCCAGATTGGGCCGTCCCCACCGGCGTCAAGAGGGCACTGAAACAAGGCTCGGCGAATATTCTCCTGGTATATTGTGGGATTGGCACGCTGAAACAAGTCCTGAGAGCGCGCCATGACCTCAGAATCGCACAATTCAGCGAGTAGCTCGGGTGTCATTTTAGCTGCAGTGGGATAAAATTGTGAGTTCTCATCTTGTGATGTTCCTTTACCATCATTCACTACGGTGCGGGCAAGGAGCATGGATGTAAACATTGGAGATTCAGAGTCGTCCGTCGAGGGAAGCGTGATCTGGGTGAAGTATGATGATACCCACAGAGGGAATAAGGATTCTTTCTCGCTGTTGCTGAGCTTCTCGTCATTAAATGGTTCGTAGAGGCCGTCTGGAGGTTGTTCCCCCATGGACATCGAAGACATATCTGGGCCATCGATGTTTGATTCAGCGGCGTGTGATATTCTGATCGCGTTTTCACATACCATAGATGATGAACGTGCGGAAGTATTCGTCGAAGAGCCGCCTCGTCGCCTCTGGTGTCTTGTCTGCATGAGCAAGGAGAGGGATCGTCTGACAATTCCCGGATGACCATCCGAGCAACGAGAAACCACCAGTACTTGATCTGATAGAATCGGACGTTTTGGAAATGGCGGGGATGCACTTCGTCTCGATAAACCAGCGTATGAACTCAGCAATCTCGAGTCCTCGGGCAGCGATCGCGGTCGCCTGGATCCCTTGATCGGGTGACGCCAGCTCCTGCAACTCTCGAGGAGTATACCGTGTTGATTCAGGATAGTCACGCAAGTTTATGAGGACAAGACGCAGCTTTTGGTGTACCGCATATGGGATGAGCCTCCTGAAGATTGCTGGGATATCGATGCGTATGAAGACTACAATTTAGACAATGTAAACGCGACGTACCGCTATGAAACATAGTCCCATGAACCAGAAATACGGTAACGTAGGTTGTGGAATTGCCTGGCGGGAGGGCATCTTCATAGTATAGGGAGATACCTTGACTGCTAACTGGTCCCAGAGGCATTGTGGCAACTCGACTTCACGCTCTACTCACTGCCAAAATGGTATCATCATCGTTGCGTCTCCCTCTCACGTCTCGCTGGCGCACCCCAAAAAATCTGGATCTAGAACACCTTCATGCAATCATCACATATCATTGTTGGATAAGCTTAAGTAAGCTTAGCTGAACAGGTGTCAAGTAGTTACGAGAATTTTAGTACAACAAGACCAAATTATTCAACCAGCACAGCAGCCCCTTCTGTGATCTCACTACAGTTCACACTGACTTGTATTCATCGACCCGGCCCACGTATGAGCAGTACAACGAACGCAGCTGGTATTCAAAAGCGAGATTAGAACACGAGTATATTCGGAACGTAGCACCACTTTCGAATTCCATTCCCACCACTTGATCAGCCCACTTATAAATCGCCATTATGACTGCATTGCCCTCCCGCACCTATTTGCTATCGCAAGGTTTCCATGAGAATGCCGTAAGCGCGTACGACGTGTGTCTCCGTTTCGAAGAACAAGTTGCAGGGGACGATAAAGCGACGATTTACGCAAGAATCCTTGGATACCTCATTCTTCATGCTCCCTCCGGCGGAGCGCTTCAACAGGTTGTTAAAGAAATACACTCCTGTTCCGAAGATTACAATAGACTGTCTGCTCTCGGAGAATGTTTTATGAATCAGTTTTTTCGTCCATGTGAGTCCTCCTCCACATTCATACTACGCCTGTTGACCCTACGGGCACTCAGTCAAAAAGTACAAAGGCCGAACACCTGCCCCCTCAAGCCATCCGTCACAACCGTCTTTCGATATACTCAAGACAGATCTAAGAGCAAAAATCCAAGAGGCCCCTAAAAACCATGAAGATGCAAAGCTCAAAGTGAGTGAGAAAATACAGGCTTCATCTCATCTGCAACTCACACGAGTATTCTCGTGCTGCCATTTAGGCTCTCATCCGAGATGGATTTCGGTGTATAGTGACCGGAAAGTATGAGATGAATGCTATGCTGAACCCATCTCTAGCGCCTTCCTTGAAGGAGCTCGAGCAAGTAGGTGTAGTGAGAACACAGTGTACACACATCGTACCGGTGTCCACATACTTCGGCGTGTCTAGTTCGGATTCAAACGAGAAGAAAGTATGTGCTAGTCGCCTACTTCTCTGTATCGTTGGAGTTCACATTTATTTTTGGACAGTCCGACTACCTCTGCTTCGGTGTTGGCTGTGCTAAAGCGCTTCGGGTATGATGTCGACCAACTCAACGGTCCCAAAGTGCATTCTCTCTACAATGTCATGACACTACAGATAGATGTGCATGACTGGTTCGACTGCCTAATAATATGGCTGGAACCGACGGTGAGCTTGCTGTAATTTAAAATAGAGGTCTTATTGAATCTCCCACCTCTCAGAATGTCGAAAACCGTTACAAAGTCTCGTCGGTATCGACCTTCTCCCTTTCTGTGCTCAAGTTACCGGAAGAAGTAACATTCACGACCCCGGATGATATCAACCTCCCCCTCCCTTCGAGGACGCTACTTGCCCTGCATGCTGCATGTGCCAAAGTTGCACATCTTTCTGGTGCGGGAGAATATACTGAGAGAATTGACCGCGAAGCAGAATACATACGTGTTCTAGCCAATGATGGAAGTTCGGGGGAGATGTTGAACAATGCCCTCTTTAGTCGACTGAACGAGCTAACTAGGGTTGAGGCTTAAAGATGTAGATTACTCGTATGAATCGTAGCATCTCGTCTCAAGCGGAATGCTGTTCTAGCTCTTTAACAATTTTACATGCGCCATAAGTGATGAATTTGCTGTGCGAAGGCGCCCTCGTCGCCCCTGGAATCTCGTCGGCACAAGCGAGATGATATGAAATCATTGAATGGCCCTTGGTACTCATTTCAGTGACAATAGGCAGATCGCCGACACTAGAACCTGATAATGGCACCGATTTAGGTCTCAAGCTCTTAAGTATTTGTGTGGGACGAACTCCTGAAGATGACCATAGGGACAATGACGATATTGACCGCATGTCAGATTCCAAACATGCAAGTCCAGGCCTACCGAAGATATAAAACATACTGTAGTGGAGGAGGAAGAGAAGGATATGTTGGCGAGGCGGAGTTGCTCAATTACAGTTAGGTATCTGCGTGTACCCGAGTCACTGCCGATCTGGGGGCAGTCTGCCGCACCATCAAGGCTGTAGGCGTTTTGTCAGAGCTGAGTATAGACAGTACAAGTTCTTGTGAGGCTTGTACCTCCAAAAATCAGCGCATGCTTTACACTAGCATGACCATCTGTCATTATTTCATCCAGAACGTTGTTTAAAACGAAGAATATGTTGACATGAACATGTGCAAGCATCGCAGCGTTGTGCTCCCTTAGGAGACAGATTGAAATCAGAAGTCAATTCGCTATCATGACAGACAGTCAATCCATCGACATTATGCTTCCCGTTGTCCTTCACACAATGCCGGCCAAGTATTTCGTGAGCCTCTCCGGATCGTCCCAGTGCATCTGGAAGTACATTAAGCCCTGTGCTTATATTGAACGGCAAAGTCACTCACGAAATGATTCGCCTGCGCAAGCTTGTGGAAAGTCAAATCCCGCTTGTTCTTTGCGCCTTCTGAATAATGTTTCGCCAAATACTTCACACGATTCGACGCATATGCAACATCCCCGGTAGTCATATCACACCATACTATGTGCGCCTTCACCTTTGGCCATATTATGTTCTCCCCGTCAAGAGGGCAATCAAAGATAGCCCGACGAATATTCTCCTGGTAGATGGTACGATCCACGTGTTGAAAGAAGAATTGCGAGCGCGCCATGACACTGGGGTCGGTCACATCAGCAAATACTTGGGTTGACATCCTCAGGATAGTCGGTGCGAAGAGCGAATATCGATCATCCTTTGTCGATCCATCAATTCCCTTGTTCGCTGGTGTGCGCGCAAGCAAAACGGGTGCAAATTCCGAAGATTCGGAGTCTTCCGCGAACGGAAGCGTGAGCTGTGTCCAGTACGAAGATACCCACAATGGGAAAGCTGCGGTCTTCTCCTCGCCACTGAGGGTGCTATCTCGGAAAGGACTGTAGAGACCAGCTGGTGCGGGCTCGCCCATGGCTGTTGTGGACATGTCTGCAGCAGCGTGTAAAATCAGAATAAACGCCACAGTGACCATTTCACGAAAGTGCACAAACCGTAGAAAATGAATGTGCGGAAGTAATTATTGAAAAGACGTCTTGTTTCCGCAGGGACCTTATCTCCATGCGCAAGTAACGGGACGGTCTGACAATTGCCTGAAGACCACCCAAGCACCGCGAAGCCACCGGAGAATGCTCGGCCCGGGCTTGACCCCTCGGAAATGGGAGGGATGCGCTCCGTCTCGATAAACCAGCGAATGAACTCGGCAATCTCGAGTCCGCGCGTAACAATTGCTGTCGATTGAACATCTCTATTAGAAGACCTCAACTGTTGCAGCTCTTCTGGAGTATACCGCGTCGAGCCAGGATAATCGCGCAGGTTGAGAAGAACTAAACGCAGATCGTTTGCTATGGCGAACGGAATCATCTTCCTGAAGATGGCTGCAGGGCGTAGAACACGACGTCAGACATGGCTTACGCTTACATTCATGACATCATACCACTCGAAAACATAGTCCCATGGATTAAGACCAGCGTAACATACGTAGTAGAGCCTGCGGGTGCAAGGCTGTCATCATAGTACAGCGAGGCACCACTGACATTGACTGGTCCAAGCGGCATAGTGGCGGGGGGGGGGGGGGGGGGGGGGGGGGGGGGGGGGGGGGGGGG